ATAAATATTTCTAAGAATAATTTGTAAAGTAGTTTGATAAAGAAAAATAAATATATTAAATTTTCAAAGAAAAAGTTAACTTGATATAATTTATTCAAGATGATAACTGACTGTTTTTTTTTCTAAATTTATTCATAAAGAATTTGGAAATCGTCTACAATAAGATGGAATCTCAATCATAATGCTATTTTAATAATTTATAACTTATAAGCTTCCTAAAATATGTTGTATTCATTATAAGATTGATAAGATATCCTATAGACTTAAATAAAAATGAATTAAATTTTTGATGTTTAGTGTCAAGTTTTCTTTTTGATTTCCATTATAATTAAAATAGAGTCTAATTTTAGTATGAAAACCTCTATTTTATGAAGACTTTTAGCTATAATTTATTAATTGGAATTTTATAATTATAAAAGGCAATAATAAATTATTAAAAAAGAAATATTTTTTATAAATTATTAAAAAAGAAATATTTTTTTAAATTAATTTGATTAATTATTAAATTCCAGGAATAAGAATCTGATCTATTATTTATAGCCAAAAGAAGGTTTAGTATATTGATAATTGTTTAGATATGTAATAATAATATATATAATAATCATATATTAAGTTTAACTTTTAGTTCTTCTAAGTTAAATTAATTAGTTATAAAAGGATGTTTATTAACTTGTTCAATAGTAAATCTTTTAGTTGGATCAGGTTCTAACATGTTTTAGATTAGATCTTTGAAATCTGGATGAGGAGGAGTCTTTATCAATTTATCAAAATAATTCCAAAACTGTTACCATTTGTATTAAGAAATGGTATTCCAAAATCTGCATTTAGATTGAATAGCAATAGTAAAAGGAGGATATCCATAAGCTAGAGTGAAAATTACAACTCCTAAAGCAAAAACATCTGTTTTTTTTAAAGAATTGGAATTGATTATTTTTTCATCTAAATTAAGTTCTGGTGCCATGTAAGTAAGAGTGCCACAATGTCTAGGATATTATTTAGATGTATGAAGACAAACAGATAAACCAAAATCTATAATAAACAATTAAGCATCTGAATTGAGCATGATATTCTCTAATTTGATATCTCTATGAACATAATCGATAGAATGCATATAGAGTAGAGCATTTGATAATTTTAATAGAATTATTTGTATTGTATTACTATTCAATGGTCCATGATTAATAATAAGTTTATGAAGGTCTGTTATCATCAAAGGAGTTGTATACCAATTATAATCATCATCATATTCTAAAATTGAAATAATGTTATCGTGTTTAAGAGAATTAAGTATTTTGATTTCTCTCTCACGTATTTTACGTGAACACTCTTTAAATAATTTTAAAGCACATTATTTTTGATTAATAATACACTTATTAATTTCACTAGATAAGCCATCACCAATTTTCTCAAGTATTTACATTTATTTCTATTTTAGTAATAATAATATATTAAATTAATAATGAAATTTAAAAAATTTAAATCTGTCCATATTAAAGATAATACTTTTTATAGAATTTTTACAGAATATGCATTTATAAATAAAAACAAGAATCATTCTATTAAAATTCCATCTTTCCAAACTCCTCTAATATCATGTCTATCAGAATTGGTATATATTCCTTATCCATCTATCATACCATCATTAAATTCTCCTTCAAATTATTCTCCATTAGTCAAAATAAGAATTCCTTTACCATGCATTTTGCCTTCATAAAAATCACCTAAACTGAATAGTAAATAAAAAAACCTTCATAAGTCATCCATCCGTCTTCAATATTTCCCAAATCTCTATAATCATATGGTCCTTATATCTAATCTACTTAGAAATTAATAAGTTTTCCTTATCCATGATATTGATTATCTTTCCAAAATCCGCTATAAACTTCATTTTCATTTTGGTCTGTGAGTACTCCAAAGCCTTCTCTCATAGCAGGTTCATAACCTTATCCTCTATAAATAAATCCATCTTCATATTATAATGCAAGTTATGTTAATTATTCTTATTATTATTATTATTATTATTATTATTATTATTATTATTTGTTTTAATCTGCAGGATTGTATTTATGAACTAAATCTCTAGTTCTATCAATAGCATCCTAGAATCTTTTCTCTAATTCATCTTCTTGGTAATTAACAATTGGTGTAATTGATTTAATTTAAGGTGTTTACTATTAAAGTTATTATGGTAGTTGATAGTTTTATTAAGGGAAATTTTATTGAGTAGGTTGATTTGGAAGTGTTAATGTTTGACTTTTTTTAATTGAGTATCTAGGAGCTGTTTAAGGTTGGGTTAATTATTGTTATGAATTACTTGGGAATATCTATCTATAATTATTAGAATATTGAGGGCTAATAGAATTAGTAAATTAAATTGGATATTAATGAATTGAATTTCTTTATTATCTAACAGGATTAGGCTAGTAAATTTAATGGGATTGAATAGTGCATATAGGTTGTGATTATCTGACTTAAATTGATTATTGATATTAATATTATAATTATTGAGTTTAGGGTTGTTTATATACAACAAAAGCAGGTTAAGGTCGTCTATAAGTAGAAGGTTATTATTATGCTTAATAATAAGCTTGTCTTTATTATTGAATGATATATTATTTTTGTGGTTGAGGAGATGTTAATAATTATGTTCTCATTAATATTATTGATAATATTTAATGTATAATCAATTAAATAAGAATATTATTTAAATAAATGAATATGAGGAAGATACTCCAGAATAATTTCATTATTATTTATAACAACATAAATCTGTAGAAGTAAGTCAAAAAATAGTGGAATTTATACTATCATTTTCTTATTTGTATTTTCGGTAGATATTTAATCATATTACTAATCTTATTAACTCATACTGAGTTATATTACTCCAGGACTTCCAAAAAAAACTTTTTCTAATAGCTTTCTCAATCCATATTGGTGCTTATCTATATAAGTTCAATTACTTTTACTTCAAATTTAATATAACAATGTTCCATTAATCAAATACTTATAACCCATTATAAGATTATTAATCATTCTCTAAAACTTCCTGCCACTCTATCATTTTCCTTAAGCATTTACTACTCCTACTAAAGTATGAACTAAACTAGATCTATTCTCTAAAAATCATTTTACAAGTAAAAAAATTAAATGACATTCCTTATTCATTTCGAAATTCATAACATTCCATCCCCCATGCTTGAATTCTATAAATTAATTCAATAAAAAGAACTCATACTATTCCAAAAATATACTTCAAAAATATGATTTTAATCAAAACATTATGCCATCACAGAATTTTCAGAAGTTATTTAATTTTTCAATATGTAATATTTCTTTATATATCATATATAAATAGGATTTTTTAGAAATGCAATTACTTACGTAAATTGAATCTAGTATCTTATTTTTTATAAATTTATTTAATTTACTGTGAAAAATTATCAGTTAAATTTATATAATTAAAAATGAATAACTTTTTTAAACATTCTAGAATAAAAAAACAAGTACTATACAATTTGTATATAAGCCGCTCTTTAATCAAAATGCTTAATGCCATCGTTAAAGTAAAAAATTTAGGGTTTTTTTTGGTTTTTTAATTTTTTTTTTTGGGCCCTTTTTTTTTTGGGAATTTTTTTTATTATATGGGCCTTTTTTTTTTTGGATATTGTTAAGTCTCCTTTTTATTTTTGAATTTTAATGGACCACCTAAATGATCCAATATTGTAAAGAATTAAAGTGTTATAAATTTTAAGATTTTGTGTAATTATTTTATGGGTTTTGATTATAATAAAATAAAGTTGGCAAAATATTATATATTTGCTGTTATTAATAAATTTTGTTAATATAGGTCTATATAATAAAATATAACATTAAAATGATATATTTATAAAAAATTTCTTAATAATAAAAAATTAATAAGAAAGTGGGTTGTAAGAAATGTCTGGAAGTTGATTTTTGATAAAGAATCTTATTTAAAAAAAATGTATTAATTGGAGGTTGGATAATAATTAGGCAATTATAAATAGAAAATAAGTAATGAGGATTAACAGAATAGATTAGTAAAAAATTAGTTGTCAATTTTTTTTGACAATTTGTGACATAGTATGAAACCATTGATACAAAATATTTAAAAAAAATCCTGACTTTTTAAACTAAAGAAGAAGATTTTATGTTTTTATTTAAATTATGGTCTCTTGATTTTTATATAAATGCATATAAATTTGTTTTAGTAAAATTTACCCTAGTTGTTAAATACTAATCATACTTGTTAATAATGTGATAATGATTTAAAATTATTACACTAATACATTTAAGTTACTAAATTTATTCTTAAATATATATCTATGTCATTAGGATTTAAATGATCCATTATATCATAACTATAACATATATAATACAGTGAAATTTTATTTAAGTAATTTATCATTTATAGTAGTGAATGCAAAAAACGTGAAGATGATTGTCCCATTATTTTAGTATTAATGTGTACTTTTGAATATGAAACTGCTTATTGTTTATTTTTGATCTTGAAAAATGTTATAAAAAAAGCTGCCGTTAGAGTTAATGTTCACGAATTAAAATATAGATTTTTTAAACTACTCAATTACGAATCTCTTTAATTGTAGTGTTCGCAATTTTTTCATTTTAAGAGAGCGATAGAATGATTATTTAGATAAATTAAACTAATTCTGATAGTAAAATGAAAAACAATAATCAAAAAAATTAAAAAAAATGATAAATAAATGAATTTATTTTAAGCCAAATTAAATATGAAAAATTGAGGAATAAAAAAGAATTTAAAATTATAAAATTACTATTTATATTGTTTTGTAAGCTAAAAACAAAAATAAATAAAATTATTTATAAAGCTAAATGAATATTCTTTATTCTTCATTATTTGCAGATAATATGTCATATAGATTTTATTAAAAAATGAAATAAATTTATAATTCTTTAAATTAAATCTATTTGTAAATAGGCGAATTTTCAAAATTTGATAAAGTCATCAAAAATGAAAAATAGTTGATAAATCTAAATTATAGTGAGAATTATAAATAATTATAAAAAAAGAATAAGTTTTAAACATTATTAAAGAAATTTAATATACTCAAGTTGATTTACTTTTTACAATTAACTCGATTTAATTTGTAGATTCATTTTCATCATTTTAATCTTGAACACGTTTATGGTATTAAGTTCGATAATATTTGAATAAAAATATTAGAGGAATAAATCCGATGACAGATAAAATAAGAAGCAAAAAGTTCATTTATCTATAATTATCATAATTTTCTATTTCCAACATGTTAGAAATAATATATGAAAAAATAGTAATTTCTAAAATAAAATAAAGTTTAATACCTGAATTGATGGAAGCAAAAGTTAAGCCAAAGCCAGTTCCAACCATATGAGTTGGAACAATTAAAGGTATATGTGGCCACATTACAGCATAATATGTTCCAAAAAAGAATCCATTAAGTATACTTCCTAAAAGTGGTACAGCAACGCATTATATATCACATTCTGGCATCAAATAAAAAATGATCATTGTTAATAATTAACAACCACTAGCGATACAAAGAATTTCAATATTGTTTCCTTTTTTATCTACATAATGACCAACAATTGGACTCAAAATTGCAGAAAGATAGTATGGAATACTAAATATTGTATTTGCAACATTTTACTCCAATTTATAACTAAATATTTTGATTATAATTACATATTTTTAAACATTTCGACACTGTTATAACAGAAAATGAAGAATACTGAATAACAGGTCATAGCTGTAATTAAAGTAATATAAAATTCTTAGTTAAAATTTTTAATTTGTCTAAGATCTACACTATCTAATTTAGAATCTGTTGTTTTATCTCTTATATCGCTGCATCTATCAATTTAAGTGAGAATAATGATTATTAGTAAACTTATTATAGCAATAAGGAGACACATCAATAAACATTGAGATAATTCATTATTAGAAGATAGATACAGATATGGATAGATAATAGCAGCTCCAATTGATCCTAATCTACAGATAGCAGTATCAATCCTATTTTTATTTAATTAATGTACCCAAATGCAAGTGAATTTTCTTTACCTTTAAACCATTTGTTGATATAATAACTCTCAGCTACAAAACCACTTGATTCAAATAATCCAAAAATAAATCTACCAATCACCATCCAAATAAAATGTTTATAAATTACTGATATGAAACATAAAACTTTTTTTATAATATTCTATTATTAATACGTTAGCCAATAATCACAACTGATCCAAAAAGGACATAAGAACGTCTTACTCCAAAAGTATCTATAATCAAACCTCCAATTAATGACATTATCATATTTGGAAATGTTCTGAATGTGAGTAAATAATTAATTTATGCTTAGGACACATTAAAATAAGATTTGATTTATTCTCCTAAAAGTGCTGGATATTCTCCTATTAAAAACTATACTAATGGATAAACACCAATTAACACTAATACAAACCATCTTAAATTTGTGTTATGCCAAGAAGTCATTTTTTCCATTATTTAATTTTAATTTTTATTTCTTTTTTGCTTATAAATTATAAATGATATCCATATTTTTCTATAATATATTATATATAAAAATTCAAATATTAAAATGTCTGTCAGAGCCTTATATTAATCATAACAAGAAGTTGGTAGAAATATTAAAAGGTAATAAATATTACATAAATATTAGCTCAAAAAAAAAGTACACTTGGAAATTTAGCATTGATGATAAGGATCACACAATTGAATTATTTGTATCAGGTTTGTCTGGTAAAAAGAAAGTAGTACATAATGGAAAAACTTTGAGAGAAGAATCATCGTATTTCTAATTTAATTATCTATTATTTTAGAGTTTTAGGAAGTTTTAATTATTCCATGACCATTTAAAGTAATTTATTAACAATATCTAATAATGGAGATTTATATGACTTAAGAATAAATAACATGTAATTTAGTCATCTTTATCATAATGGTAATTTATAATTTTTAATTTAGAAAAAACAAAAAAAGAATTTTAATTTGAGGATGGATATAATGATGGAAATAATTAAGAAGATTATTATTCTAAATTACCAAAACAACCTTCTAAATAAAACAAACCATTATATAAAGAAGAAGACTAAGGATATGATTTTGGATTAGTAGATGGTATTGAAAGAATGGCTCCAGGATAAAGATTAGAAGAATAAAATGAGTTCAATACTCATTCTAATTATTAATAAAAATTAAATATTCAATTTAAACCAAAAGATGATCCTTATGCTAAATTTAATGAACCTAAACCTTAATAAAGACAAACACAATCATTTTCTTAAAAACCATAGCAACCATAAGCCTAATTTAATTAACAATAAATTAAGAATGATTTTGCAGATTTTGGAAACTTTCCAAAACCTCAAGCTCCAACCACTAGTGATAATGTTTTTAGCAATTTTGGTTTTGGATTCAATGAAACTCAACAATAACAAACTAAACCGCAATAATAAGCTTAAAATTAATTTTAATAAGACTTTTTTAAATAAAATTCTTTTGGAGATTTTTAACAACCAAATCAAGCATTTTTCTAACCACCTATTCAATAATAATAATAATAATAACAACAATACTAATAATAATAACCATAATAATAATAATAATAATAATAATAATAATAATAATAATAATAATAATAATAATAATAATAATAATAATAATAATAATAATAATAATAATAATAATAATAATAATAATAATAATAATAATAATAATAATAATAATAATAATAATAATAATAATAATAATAATAATAATAATAATAATAATAATAATAATAATAATAATAATAATAATAATAATAATAATAATAATAATAATAATAATAATAATAATAATAATAATAATAATAATAATAATAATAATAATAATAATAATAATAATAATAATAATAATAATAATAATAATAATAATAATAATAATAATAATAATAATAATAATAATAATAATAATAATAATAATAATAATAATAATAATAATAATAATAATAATAATAATAATAATAATAATAATAATAATAATAATAATAATAATAATAATAATAATAATAATAATAATAATAATAATAATAATAATAATAATAATAATAATAATAATAATAATAATAATAATAATAATAATAATAATAATAATAATAATAATCATAATAATAATAACAACAACAATAATAATAATAATATTAATAATAATAATAGCTGATTGAGTAATAAAAAGCTAAACTAATGCCTTAAACTAATTTATTAGATTTTGAAGATGACAAACCATAATAATAATAATAATAATCAACAATTGCTTAATAATAACCAACATATTAACAATAATAATAGTAAATCCAAAATTAAGTACCTTAATTAAACTTCTAATATGCTTAACCTCCTCAATAATAATAATAACAATAAAAAGTATTACCATAGGATTTATTGGATGCTTTTGATGATCCTGAACCAGTTGTATAATAATAAAATCCACAATAATTACCATAGTTCAATATTACTTCTTTGTATTAATAATAATAAGTAAATATTCCAATTCAATCATCTATTACAACATAATCCCCTCCATAATAATAATTTGTAATTATATTTTTTTATAATCCAATAGAAGTAAAGTCTACCAAACTAATATCAACCTTAACCATTCAATCAAATGCCTTAGCAACCATACTAGAATCCTTAAATTTCAATTACCTAATTATATAATCAACCATAAGCCTAAGTAAACATGAATATACCAGTTTAAATAAATGTAAAAACTTAATCAACTCCGTTTGATGATGTATTTTGAAATAATATATACAGAAAATTGGCTATTTTTAATTATTTTAATTTTAATTTTTAAATAATTGTCATTAAGGAATATATGATTTCATAATTTTAGAGTTTGTCCCTTGAACCATTGAACGTCCTTATTAATTCACTTTTTCTTTTAATTCGTAGTTTTCAACTTCAATTTGATTAGCTTTTTTTCTCAATTATTCATTTTGTTATTTTAACTCATTAATCAATTAATTAATATTTTTATTCTAATTTTCTAAAAAAATATTACTTGGAGTTCAAGTTATTCTTTATCCATTCTCAAACCTTATATTTTATCTTCATAATATTATTCTCTTTTTTAAATTTAATTTTCTAATTCTTGGTTCTTTTATTTATAATTGCTGTTTTCATGTTCTAACTTATATTTATCTACTTTGATATTTTATTCAAAATCTTCCTTTTCTTACTTTAACCTATGATTTTCTTTTTATAATTTTTCTGTTAAAATATCTTTCTGATTTAAAAGATGTTCTAATTCTTCTATTTTCTAATATTTATATATAATTTACGTTATCACTGTTTTCAAGAGATTATTTATACTTAACTTTCTACTATTCTATTAACTTATCTCTTTCATTCTTTAAAGCTTCTATTTAGGTTTAATGTGATTTAATCATGGAATCAATTTATAATTGTTACTATCTATTAATTGAATTTAAATTATCAATTTCTAAAGTTTGTTTGCTTTCTTTATCAGCTTTTTTCTATGATTATTTAGTTCTATTAATTTAAATTATTAATTACAGCTCTTCTTCTCGTTTTTATATAATTTCAATTTTTCTATTGAGTTCATCTATTATATCCTATTTTTTTTTGTTCTCTTTTTCCAATTCATTAAGCTTTGTTTTAAAATTTTTAGAATCAGAAGAAATTTAATCTTTTTCCTTCGTAACCGAAAGATTTTATGTTTACAATTCTCTAAACTACCTCAATTTTTCTGTAATCTCTGAATTCAAACTATCTTTTTACGTTTCAAAATCCCTTTTTTCAGTTTCAGAATCATATTTTAAAGCTTCATATTTTTTTTCTAATTCTTCATATTATAACATTAATTTTGTATTATCTTATTACAATTTTATATATTAATTCTTCACTTCTCTTAATTTACTATCAGTATCTTTATTAGAGTTTAGTAAATCTTCATATTTTTTTTTAAAATCTAATTTAGAATTACTAAGTTCATTAGTTTCTGATGATAATTTTTCATTTCTTTATTAAAATTCCTTTATTTATTTTTTCTACAATTCACTATCTCTTTATAATTCTTTTAATTTTCCTAAAAGTTCCTTGTAATTTTTTAGTAATGTATGATTTTCTTATGAAAGTTCTTTTACTTTCTCTGCCCAATCATCTTTTTATAACCGTTCTTTCTTTAAATATATATTTACTATGTAGATTAGCCATCTAATTTTAAATTGTGCCATTTTAATAGATATTTAAAATAATTTCACATTTTTTCTCTAATTATTCCCTAAGATTCTAATTATCTTCTACCAATTGTTTTGATAATTAATCTAATTAATTTAGGCTTTATTTTTATATCTCAATCTATACTATTATAACATTTATATACTGTATGTTTTTGTTCTAATATTTATTCATCATAACAGTCTAACAAAGGTTGCAACTATTTCCATGTAAATTCTGTTCTCAAATGTGGAGCTTCTTATTTTAACTCATTTTCATCATCATCTGTACTTATATATGATCCAAATCTATTAATATATTGTTAAATTTCTTTTAATGCTTTTTCAACTTATTGATTAATTAATTTAAAATACGTAATATTTAATACATAGCACTACTTTCTTATTCTCTTTCATAATCGGTCTTCATCTCTTACAGACTTTTATTCTTATTAACAATCTCATGTTAATTTTTCTATTAGAATGATTATTGAATTCCTAATTAACCTTGATAAGCTCCATATTGAGATTGAGCTTATAATATAAAAATGAATGCATACTATTTAATTTAGACATTAACTTTCAAATTTTATATTAAATAACTATATAAATTTTATCATTATATGCATATTGAAAATAAATCAAGTAAGATTATCAGCGAATTCATAACATAATTTCCAGAAGAAAGAAGAAATAGTGTCATAAATTTTCTATTAATTCTTGGATTTGATATAGCTAGAAAATTAGGATAAAACAATTAAACAGAATTGTTTTAAACAATGAAATAGTTATCAAGTATAAATTTATTCAAATAATAATTATAGAATTTATCATTAATGATTGTACTTAAAATGGCCAAACTGAATTAAGAGAAGAAATAAAAAAGATTTAGCAATAATTAGTTTAACTTAATTCATTATTCAATAATAGTGAAAATGAATAAATCTAATCCAAAAGCCAAGATATGCATTAAAATCAACTCTAAACTAAACCATTATATATCCATAACAGATTTTATACTCAAAATGATATGGAAGATTAAATAAATTCAAGAATGAGAGAAGAACAATTAAATAGTACGAATTCAAAAAATTAATTCAAACCTGCCAAAAGAAATAATATCAATAAATCACCATTTTAACAAAATAATAATAATTTAACTGCTAAAATTACTGAATCTCCACCTCCTCCTATGATTTACTAAAATACTGCAAGCAACAAATTTAATATTAAACCTCATCTAGATGATCATTAAATGTAATAATAATTCATTTATTTTTTTAAGTAAATAGTTACTATATTCTTAAAATGAGAAAGTTTATTAAGATGATTTCGATTCCATTTCTAATAGAGGTCATCAATACAATCAATCTCCAAAATCTATTAAATATACATTAAATATTTAAAACTTTGGTACGATTAAGAATAATTATAGACAATTTAGGTTAAAGATTTTAAACCCATGAAACTAATAAAAAAATTAAACCTTAATAAACTTCCAATAGTAGTAGATAAAAAAAAAAAGTTCCTGCATATCTATAAAATGTTGAATCTAAAATAAAACATAAATTAGATTAAGATAAATAAGCATTTAAAAATTAAAAAAGTAAATATTTTTAGTATTTTAAGATTTCGATGATGATGATAATTCTTATTATAATTATAAAATGTTATCAACTTAGTAAATGACTGCAAATTTTTAAAATAATAATAATAATTTTATCCGTCCAAGTTAAGAATCAGATACTTATTATGAGATTTAATAATATTTGATTAACTAATAAAACTAAAATTATCACCTTTCACCTGTATAGGAAATGAAAACTGATAATGAAATTATATCAAACAAAAAAAAAACTTAAAATTTTAGTGATAAAATTAAAAGTTCATTAAAAAGTTCATAAGAAACAAGAAATCTAAGATAAAATCAGCAATAAAATTTTTTCGAAAAACATGAAAACTTGCCTTATTAAAATTCCATAACTCCTATATAAGTATCTGATTTTTAAATGAGTAAATAATAATCAGATTTAAGTTTTGAAGCTTTTAGAAAAAAAGCCTAATTTACTTCTCCATATGTATGAATCTAAATTTATTTTAGGCTGTATCTTTATAATAAAGTTCTTAACAAATTCATACAGCATAAAAACCTTAAAGAAATGATGAAGAAAGTAGTGAAAGTTTTTCAAATTTTACACCACCTAACAAGGAAATTAGTGAATTTTTATCAAAATAATGCATTTATTTAGACTAAGATTGAGATTTATATTTATCTTTTGTTTTATTGATGTTCAAAATATTTAGGCTGATTGAAACACTTGGTCGATTCTTGAAAAAACACCCAACAGGAACAGGTAGACGTATAGCTATATCTCCATTCTTTAAAAATATTTTGACAGAAGATGAAGAAGAAAATTTCAAAAGACAAGAAATATTTTATGATCCACATACGTAATTTATAAATATATTAGAGTTATTATTTGAGGCAATAGAAAATTTAGTCTTATTAAAACGAACTAAAGTAGAAAAATCAGAATGGATATAATTAAAATGGATTATCAGAATTAGGTAAATATTATTTCAACTCTATAGTTATTACATAAAAAATGCCAGAAAGAAGTTTATTATTACACACAGGGGATTATTAAATTGGTAAATAAGAAAGCTTTCTTCATTCAATTCAGTTAGGTAGAAAAGGAGCTGAAAATCATTTTTTTAGTTTAGATGATATTGAATCAGTTTATAGCTCTAATGATTAGGATATACATTTTGATATGTAATTGTTTAAAATATTTTTAGAGAAGACAGCTTAATTTACCAGCATTGAAATATTCTCAATTATTTAATATTATATTATTATTTCTAAATTGTGCATCAAAAAATATTGATGATGATTCTTCTGTGTAAAAGAAACAGGTAGACATCTGTTAATGAGAAATATAAAGAATAAAAATAAAAAAAAATACAAAAATTAAAATAAAAAGAAAAAGAAAATTATTTTGGAGTAAAATAGTTGTAGCAAAGCAAATTTATAAAGTTTAGAGTTAAAATAATATTGGCAATAATAAATATTTACTCCAAAATCTTACTATCATGTTTATGAAATAAATAATAAAATTTCTGATTCATTGATGAATTAAACAAATAAAGCTTTTAGTAATAATAATAAGAAATTTTTTCGCATTGCTTAAATTCTAATAAGTGATAGGAATTCTTTTGAATATATATATTTTTTTTATATTAAATTATATAAATATTATTTTTTTTACAAGAAGAGCAAGCTAAAGGAATAACCAGCTGCACTAATCTTGTCTTTATACAATAATATATATATTGCCTTTATGATAAATTGTGTTAGGGAATTATAATATTTTTTAAAAATTCCTCATCATTTGTAATTAAATTTTATTAATCCATTTTGAGTCCTAAAATATATAGATTGAATTTTAAAAATTCATGATTATATTTCATTTTTCATTTATTAGTTTTTTTTGTGTATAAAATTTTAGCCTATTGAATTAAACTATGTAATAGTGAGAAGTCATTTTGAGCAAATCATTTTCAATAATTAAAAAATACGAATAAGCCAACCTATTCAGGCAAGTATAAAAATCTTCATCTTTTTTATTTAAATTATACCTAACAGGCAGATCTAAATAGTTTATCAATCTTAACTGAAAAAATCGATAATGCATAAAAGCTCACATATAAAAAAATCATTCCTCTATAAAATATATTAAATTTTAATCATTTTAAATACTAAATCAATCTCGAATAAAAAAAATTATTAGTCTCTTGAGGAATGATAGTTTTTTTAATTGCAGCATCATCTATATTTTGACTAAAATTTGTTTTTTAAATTAGCTATTAATATTATTAATATTAAAATAAACGTTGATATAGTAAGGGTAATTGTTTATGAAAAATTTTGGTATCTTTTTTTATATATAAAGTGATTCTTCAAGAATTTTTAGAAAGTATTCATGACTGTTCAGGTCTTATAAATGAAAATAATATTTAAAAATCTAAATTTAGTAATTTTTTGGCAAAACCTTAAAAAAAATAAGTATTTCAATCATATACCTCCTTACATTTATCAAAATGTAACGATGTTTTCACCAAAAAGTTAACCATTATTGTTCATTTGTAAAAAATTGAATATAAGTATAATTGGGATGATATTAAATTTATAAAACATTAACTGGAATAAATTATAAATAAATTAAGCAAAAGGATAAAGATTATAGAAAAAAAATTTTTTTAATATTTTTTTATAGAATGTGGCTGAAAAGACGGCTATTCAAATTCTCAAAAAGCAATTCTAAAGAAATAAATTTGATGATGATAACAGTATTGAAATTTAATCATACATTATTTATAATGCTTAATCTGAAATATAAAAGTTTTTATAAACATTTTAAATATTTTATATATTTCATGATACTTCGGAATATATATAATTTAAAATGAATGACTTTTTTGAAGTTCAGTCTTCTTAAAAAAGAAGATTCTCTTGAATTAAAGTAAAGCTTTTTTCTTAAAATAAGATAAATTAAAGTGTAAGGTGTATTTTAAATTTAAATATTAATAATAACCTATCTAACTTACATATTTATTTATAGTGATAGTAATTTAAAAGGAAAGTAAGGATATTAAAATATATAATTAATTCAATTTAAATGACTAAAAGTTTGGACAAAAAAAAAGCTTAAAAATTATTAAGATATTTATCATGATTTAACACAAAAATTTTTTATGATGAATTTTTAATAAATTAATCATACTTATTAAATGAAATTACAACAAATCTGTTTTCTTCTATTACTTCTAATTCTGTTAATAAGTAGCTCAAAAATTACAAAAAACTGTGTTTGTGGGCATGTTAGAAGTTAAAAGGAATGCTAAAGTTCTGGTTTTTGCATTTGGTAATCCAATGAGTGTAAATTAAATTCAGGTTAAAAATACACAATATAAATCTAAGACTAAAAGCACTGCAAATATTTTGCAAAAGAAGATTGTAGAGAATAAGAGTAATGCGGTTTTTATTTAGGATAATGTATCAACTTTATCGATTGCATGTTATTTAATAGATAATATTGTTAAGAATCATCATATAAATGTGTTTCTGATGGCACAAAATGTGTTTAAATATTAGATTGTAATGATTATAAAACAGAAATTGGATGTTAAAATAAAAGTTAAAATGGTAAGTTTTGTTTTTGGGTTTAGGAGGAGAAAAAAAATGTAGAGATGCCAAAATATGCGAAGAATTACCAAAATATTTGACAAGTCATAAAATGTGTAAAGAAAGTTTCGAATTCTGCACAGTAAATGAGAATGGTTATGGATGTATTTAATAAATGGAATCATGTTCATAATATATTAATGATTATTAATGTTTTGAAAATAACAAAGGAAAAAATTGTTTTTGGAATTAAAAACTTGGTAAGTGTATAGAAAAGGAATGTGAAAATCTACCATTTTCATAAGATTATGAATGTTAATCATATTTAAGTAATTGTAAAGTAATAATTAAAATATATAATAAGAGAAAGGGAATTTTGAACTATATTTATTATACATCAAATGGAATTCATTGTGTAAAAAAGAGAGAATGTATTGATGCTAAAAATAGATTTGGATGTGTAACAGATATTTAGGGTAAGAAATGCGAATATCATTAAAATGAATGTAAAATAAAAAGCTGTAATACTGCTTCAAGTTCTCTTACAAATTATAAATAATGCTAGGATTATGACAATTTATTAGATTGTGTTACTTCAGAAAATGGAGGATGTAAAAAAAGACCTGAAACTTGTAGCGGTTATATAAGAGAAATGGATTGTTATTCTGTTGAATTATAAGATTGTGTATGGTAAAATAATAAATGTGAAAAAAGATAATGTTATCATGCTCCACTTTATTATAGTCATACAGATTGTAAAAGTTATGGAAATTGTATTGGGAAATTAAATGGTGGATGCTAACTTACACCTTAATGATGTAATGAGATTTTAGAAGAATAATTTTGTGAAATTAATTTTAATAAAGAAAAGTGGTTTTGGTTAGAAGATAATTGCATATTGTTAGAATATAATAAATTAAAATTACCATATTATAAAAATCATTAAATATGCTAATAAGCAAGTTAATTTTGCACATTTAATATAGATTCTTTAGGTTGTACAGATTACATATGTGAAAATATTTTAGAAGTAGAAAATTGCACAATTGATTCAAATGGTTCTCTATGTACAATGAATTAAGGATGTATAGAAAAGACTTGTAGAACTGCTCCTCTATCTTATGATACTAATACTAAATGTGAAAATTGGTTGTCAAAATGTACAGTAAATGTTTAAGTTTTATCAAATTAAAATATTTTGATTGGATGTGTAGATAAAAAGAATAGTTGTTAACTTGCTCTATAAGATCAATGCTATTCTACGATTTCTGGTTTTTAATGTAAATGGGATTCAATTTCTTAAAAGTGCATTGATCAAGATTGCACAGATGCAAATCCTAATATTTATTAAACTAATGAATTATGCTAATCATTTAAAGTGTTTTCAGCTTCTTGCATACTTAAATCTACTAACATTGGATGTTAATAATGGCCATAAAATTGCAATCTTATGTTAAATTAATAATAGTGTGAATTAAACTTATAAGATGGAACTATATGCTTTTGGAATGGTAGTTATTGTAAAATAAAGGAATGTTCAGATGCTTCTAAAATTAATTACACTAATAATGTTGAATGCAATGTCTGGATTAATTATTGTATTTTTAATCATATTAATGGAGGATGCAAAACTAGAGTTGATTCAGATACTTGCACATCTTCACCAAATAATATTATGTATAGCGTCATTAAGAATGTTTTGCATGGAATCCTAAATGTACTATTATTTCCTCTTTTCAAGCTGAAGGTTGTGAGTCTAAGAAAGAAAATTGTTATGAATTTATTAGACAAAGAAATTGTAAAACAAACTTAAACGGACAATATTGTTATTGGGATGATGGAGAACAAAAATGTAAAAATGAAGATGATGATAATGATAGATAAGTTGATTGTCATAAGAGAATTTATGGAGAATTATCTCATTAAGATTGTGAAAACTTTCAACCAAAATGCACAATAAATAACATTAATAGATAATGTTCAGATCTCTCATATTGTTGGAATTACAAATATCAATAATAATGTGAAATCACTATTGAATAATAACCTTGTAAATGGGATATTTAAAATTAATTATGTAAAGATGTTTTTTGGACAGAAAATACTACAGCATAAACTGAGGCTGAATGTTTAAAATTTAGAAAAAATAACTAGTGTTAATTAAAGATTAATTTTAATGGAACATATGGACCTGGTTGTGAGTGGAGACCATCTTCTTGTTAGGGGATTACAAATTCTAATATATGTAAATTAACTTTAACAGCTGAAAACCATAGATGTTATTTTTTTAATTCTTCATGTTCAATTGTACAACCAAATTAATGTTAATTCGTTGCTGATAGTAAAAGTAATGAGCTTTGTCAATTATATAATACATAATGTGTACTATAATCAATTGGAAAAGGATGTTATTCTACTTAAACTTGCTCACATTTATCAAATGAAGTTTTTAACAGTGCAATCATGTAAATGAATTATTAATGTAATTATTCTGACATCTGTCGACTTGATATGAATTGTTCTGACAAATATCTTTCCTTAAGCACTTGTGATGGCTAAAAAACACGTTTAGGTTAATTATGTTAATATAAATAATCTTGTCACAATTGTAACTATTAATGCATTGGATAAACAGCATAAAAAAATTTAAACTTTTCTTCCTAAATGACACTTTCACAAAAAAGGGAATAATGTTAAGACTATTCAAAAACTTATATGTATGATACAAATTGTGATTGTTGTGTATTATTAACTTCTTGTAACCTAGTTTAAGGTTCACCAACACGTTGTAATACATCAATAGCTCAGGTAAACTCTTCGTTACAAAGTTGTGGATATAATTCCACAAATTCTACTTGTAAGAATAGAACATGTGAGCATTTAAAAAACTTGAATTTTGATGAAAGTTGTTATGATTGGTAATATGATTGTGTTCTTAACAATAATAATTGTAAGACTTTCACAGGTGAATGTACAGAAATTAAATTAATTTATCAATGTTAAAAATTTGCATGCTTTTGGTAAATTGATAAATGTGTTAGACATATAGATTGCCAAATTAACACAACTGCGATTTCGAATCGTGAATGCTTACTCATAAATGGTTCATATTGTAGATTAAACTATACAAAAGGATAAGGTTGTTCCTTTATGGATTGCAGTAATATAACAAACTCAATTATGTGTAATTAAGCAAATATTATTAATGGGTCTAAATGTAAATGGGTAATATCTACATGCTAAAAGAAATTATGTAATGAATATATAACATAATCTGAATGTGAAAGTAGTTATGGTTATTATTAGAATGTCTTCACAAAATGTTATTGGTGTTCGTATACAATGTAATGCTCTTATCAAAAATACTGTAGTTTAAGTATGATCAAAATCAGTATCAAATTATTATTTCAAGCAATTTTCATGATAGTATGATTAAACTAAAATCGCATTAAGATTGTAATGATGTAATTGTAATGCAAACAATCCAATTTATATTCACTTCAAAATGCATTGTCAAAAAATTATTATGTTCAGAGTACACTTATGAAGATGCTTGTGTAAATACAATTAAAGGCATAGAATGTTATTGGAATTCTACTTTTTGTATAGATATCTGTTAAGCTTAACATCTGTTTAATAGAAATTTTGATAATTCTTTATGTGTTACTTGGCGTTCATATTGCATGTCAAAAAATGGGCAGGAATGTGAATTATTAAATTGCTCATCTTTGATGACAAATGCAGAATGTAATATTTTTACAGTAAAATGTTTTTGGAATATATCGAAATGTTAAGCTATTGGTTCTTGTAATGATTATTCTGATATCAATTTATGCTAAGATAAAAATAATTCTTAAGGAATTCCTTGTTTTTGGGATGGTACAAATTGTTAAGAAAAAACATGTTCAAATATACCTACACCTCCATCATTACCAACAGATTGTAATGATTGGCTTATGAATTGTTAATGGAATATTAATGATAATTCTTGTATTGAAGATTGTACATAAGCAAATATTTTATCTACCACCCCCCATTCAGAATGTGAATCATTTTATTTAAGTAAAAGTTGCACTGTAAAGGTTGATTTAATTTAATGTGTTGATCTTCCATTCTCATGTTCTTTAGTAAAACAAACCTAATGTTTTAAAGATAAATTTGGAAACGAATGTTACTTTTAAGATGAATTATAAATATGTGTTAATTTAAATTGTTTAATTTTTTCTTACACAACGCATGAAGAATGTAATTAACAATTATAATCTTGTACAGTAAATTCAACCTTAAATGGATGTCAACATTTGGATGAATGCAGTAACTATTTAATCCAAGAGCAATGTAGGATTAATTCAAATAATGTAGAATGTGAATGCCATATTGCACAGTTAAATAAGAAGGAGGATGCACTTAAAATTGCTAAGATTACATAATTAAAGAAGCTTGTTATACAGATTATGAAAATGTAGAGTGTATATGGGATGAGTATATAGGTATATGCTTTCCAAATTCATGCATAGATTTTTGTGGAGATGGTATTGTTTCTAGTTAAGAAGAATAATGTGATGATGGCAACTATTTACCTTATAACGGTTGTTACAAATGTTAAATACAGTGTCCAATAGGATGCAATATTTGTAATGTTCAATATGTAAAGATTGTCAAAAAAATGGATGGGTATTGAATAATGGGGTTTGTAATTCTATATGTGGAGATAACTATGTAATAGGAAATGAATATTGTGATGATGGGAATAATATTGAATTTGAAGGATGTTACTAATGTTCCTATTCATGTGATAGGAAATGTCTCAATTGTTTTTAAGGGCTATGTTTTACATTGAAGATGGATCATAATGCCATAATATTTGTGGAGATGGATTTCTAAATTTAATATTAGAATAGTGTGATGATGAAAATCTTCTAAATAATGATGGATGTAATGATAATTATAAAATTGATATTAATTGGAAATGCTAACAAGAGAATGGTGTTAGTGTTTGTAACTATGTTCTTCTGCCATAAATTATACTTACTTAACTCACCAAAACAATCTCAGATAATTAAGAATTCAAATTATCATTTTCTCAACAAGTACGATTGAATATTGCAGGCATCAGTGAAGAACAATTTCTTTAGATGATTATAATTGTTATTGAAAATGCCAAAGATGATGACTATTATGTTGAAGTTAGACCCATTATTTCTATCTCTACTGAATTTACTGATGTGGCTTATAAATTATTAGTCAATTTTAAAAGTAAAATTTAAGATCCTGTTTTATAAGTAACAATTAAAAATGTGAAAATATTGTGGATATTTGGAACAACACTTTATTATCTAATATAGCAAATTTAAGATTAAAGTCTCCTCGTAAAATGTCTAATGATCAAATATCACTTCTAGAAAAAACTGCTCTTTTAAGTAGAATCGTTATTTATATCATTTTGGTTGTAAGTGTTATTGCTTTTTTATTTGGTAATTTAGAAATATTATGGAACCTGCTTGATATGCTCCAACAATTATAATACATGAAATATCACAATCTTTAATTCCCAGAAAACTTACAAATCTATTTTGAAATATTTACTATTGGATCAATTACCCCCATTTTTGATAAATTGTAAATAGATATATTTTTACAATATATAATTGATTACTAAATTCCACCTATCCAAGCCAAATGGAAATTCGAATATTATTCAATAAATTGCTACTTTTTATAATATTTAGGTTAAGGTCTTGGAACTGCTTAAAGTATAATTACTGCTGTTATATCAGGAGTATTTTGTTGCTACAGACTTTTCAAATGTCACAGATCAATTAGTTGATATTGGTTAAGCAATTGTGAGAGGAAATTCAATTATTATGTGGGAATGTTTAGATAAAGTTAAAGATTGTCTGGATATATTAACAATACAATCATAAATAATTAATTTATAGATAATATTTTAATATCTCTTTGTGCCTAATAATTGTGGTTAAAGGGTTTATGAAAAATTAAAATTATTTCTTATTCTTTTTTTTTATCAAAAAAATCATTATTTTCCTACCAATCAACACCAACTGTTGAGTAATGAAATAAAAGAATTAGTAGCAGGAATATTCAAACCATTTTTGCCAGAAGTTATAGAATTCTTGGTTGGAAAAATATTGATGTAAGATATAAGAATTGTGAATGCCTTGATCTTTTCAGGCATATTGGAAGTTTTGTTAGTGATATTAGGAGCATTGTAAACATGAAAATTTATTTTTAGCTACTATATAATGGTTGAAACTCCAAACCAATATAAAAGAGCTTGAGAATTATTGCTAAATTGGCTTTCTTTTTAGGATTAATTATTTGGATTGCAATTTATTGTAGTGGAATTGGATTAAAAAAATTTCTTGAAATATTGCATATAGTTTATTAAAACCCATAAAATGTAGAAAATTATTCAAATGATTTATCAGAATTTATCTAAAAAGAGACAAGAAGAAATTTTGGAGTATTATTTTTGATTGCAAAATATATTATAAATTATTATTAACACCATACTTAATTAATAATATAAATTCTCAAACTTTCTTGATAATCTTTTTTATGCCCAATATTGATTTCAAAATACTCTTAAACAAGGATTGTTGAACAAAATAAAAAAATTAGAAGGATTTTTTATATTTAGTTATTTGATTGTAAAGGATTAAAAAATATTGATACTCACTTAATTAGACAATTTATAAAATAATTGAAAATAATCTAAAGGTATACTAATCATGAATATGAATTTAAGAAAGACTCTAATCAGCTAAAAATTTTAAGAATTGAATTAACAACAAATGTATCAAAGGATTTTCATGAAATGTTTATTTAAATAATCTTGAATCTCTTTTACTGCTTCTGAATACTTTGATTAAATATATATTTTCTGGTTTTTTTTATTATCTTTTTGTAATCAACATTAATTGTTCCTCAAGCTACTTTACTTTAGAAAATTTTATAAATGTATTAGATTTTATCTATCATTGGTACAGAATTTTTTTATATTTGAACTTTTCATTTAACAATTTTATGCCATGATATTGTTAATGCTATTGAGATAATGTTATGATTAGTAAATGTGATTTTTGATTATAATTTGCTTTCATAATTTTCTTATAAAATTTTATTGTATCCAATCATAATTTTACCCATTATTAATCAGAAATATTTTGAGGTTGATATTATAAAGTGATAAAATTCTCATTCATTTTTTAAAATAAAGTCTATCATTTATTTAATAAAAAGTAATAGAAAATCATTAATTCAAATTCTAACACTCTATAGAGTAAATATCAATAATTAAATAAATGAAAATAATTTATATCTTATTATCAATTGTTTATCTATGTAAGGCATAGATAAAAACAGCATTTTGTGATGAATATATTGAATATGATGTGGATTATTTTGGAAGATTTGTTTCGAATGCTAAGCTTTCAAATGTTACAGATGCCATCTTAGCTGAAAAAAGAGTTCTTATTATTGATGATAATCTTAATGTATTAAGTTCAATACCTAAAACTTAAAATCATAACTGCTAATGGATATTCAAATAGAGCAGTGATACTTTTTTTGTTGGATGCTAAAAGTATGGAGAATCCCCTTATCTAATTGCTTATAAAAGTATAAATAAAACTCATTATGCATAATTTGGGGATATTGTGTATTTCCCAAATTTAAATGAAACAGTTTTTAGAATTACTGGAGCCTTAAATACACTCTTTACAGTTTAACCCACGAAAGTAACATTATTCACTTTAGTAATGTCAGCATCAGAATGGAGTATTAAGACAACTCAAAATGTTTTGGATAAGAATTATTTTGCAAGGACTTCTGAAATCAATATCACTAATATAGATTTTGCACCTTATTCACAAGATAACTTATAATATTATAAATTGATTGTAGTTGAATACAGTCTTGGAGCATTTTGGGTAGATTCTGTGGTAAAAAATAATATACTCTCACCATTTAAAACTGGCCTCATTAATCTATATTCATTTTTTTATTATTCATCTACACGCTATTATCAAGGAGTTTCCATTCATTCCACAACCTAAAATGTATCTTAACTCATGTTTACTCTTTTTTATAATGGGAACACAGATCTAAACATCAAGGCAGTTTATATATCACCTTCAAATACAACAATCACCTGGAATTATGAATATACTGGAAATGGCTGGCCATCATGGAGAAATCCAATTACTTTAGGAAACTTATAAGGGATACTTCGTAGAAATTCATTAAAGTAAGGCATTTTTAATGTTTATAATATCTAAATCCCTTTTGCTTCAGAACAAACTGAAAATAATTCAGGTCTTGGTTCTGAGCCAGTAGATATTTTCACCTCTCCTCCATAAGAATTTGCTATTATTATTTTAATTCTGGTTATAGAGTTGTGCATAGTATAGAAAATAATAAGTTATAAAGTTGTGATCTTTACAATTAATAGGTTAAGGTCTTGGAACTGCTTAAAGTATAATTACTGCTGTTATATCAGGAGTATTTTGTTGCTACAGACTTTTCAAATGTCACAGATCAATTAGTTGATATTGGTTAAGCAATTGTGAGAGGAAATTCAATTATTATGTGGGAATGTTTAGATAAAGTTAAAGATTGTCTGGATATATTAACAATACAATCATAAATAATTAATTTATAGATAATATTTTAATATCTCTTTGTGCCTAATAATTGTGGTTAAAGGGTTTATGAAAAATTAAAATTATTTCTTATTCTTTTTTTTTATCAAAAAAATCATTATTTTCCTACCAATCAACACCAACTGTTGAGTAATGAAATAAAAGAATTAGTAGCAGGAATATTCAAACCATTTTTGCCAGAAGTTATAGAATTCTTGGTTGGAAAAATATTGATGTAAGATATAAGAATTGTGAATGCCTTGATCTTTTCAGGCATATTGGAAGTTTTGTTAGTGATATTAGGAGCATTGTAAACATGAAAATTTATTTTTAGCTACTATATAATGGTTGAAACTCCAAACCAATATAAAAGAGCTTGAGAATTATTGCTAAATTGGCTTTCTTTTTAGGATTAATTATTTGGATTGCAATTTATTGTAGTGGAATTGGATTAAAAAAATTTCTTGAAATATTGCATATAGTTTATTAAAACCCATAAAATGTAGAAAATTATTCAAATGATTTATCAGAATTTATCTAAAAAGAGACAAGAAGAAATTTTGGAGTATTATTTTTGATTGCAAAATATATTATAAATTATTATTAACACCATACTTAATTAATAATATAAATTCTCAAACTTTCTTGATAATCTTTTTTATGCCCAATATTGATTTCAAAATACTCTTAAACAAGGATTGTTGAACAAAATAAAAAAATTAGAAGGATTTTTTATATTTAGTTATTTGATTGTAAAGGATTAAAAAATATTGATACTCACTTAATTAGACAATTTATAAAATAATTGAAAATAATCTAAAGGTATACTAATCATGAATATGAATTTAAGAAAGACTCTAATCAGCTAAAAATTTTAAGAATTGAATTAACAACAAATGTATCAAAGGATTTTCATGAAATGTTTATTTAAATAATCTTGAATCTCTTTTACTGCTTCTGAATACTTTGATTAAATATATATTTTCTGGTTTTTTTTATTATCTTTTTGTAATCAACATTAATTGTTCCTCAAGCTACTTTACTTTAGAAAATTTTATAAATGTATTAGATTTTATCTATCATTGGTACAGAATTTTTTTATATTTGAACTTTTCATTTAACAATTTTATGCCATGATATTGTTAATGCTATTGAGATAATGTTAT